TCATCTATGTTCATCAAAACATCCACACAAGAGATACAATACCAAATCAATTCACCAAATCACAAGTCAACCAAGAACCAAAATTCCAAAGGTATTTTTCCAACAAAATAATTCGAAAAAATATGCAAGAGATCATCAAGAAATATAATTTTATTGTTTAAACAAAACACTAGATTTTTTAAATCAAGAACATTGGAATATCAAGGGTAAAATCTATATTTCTTGAAAACTAGAGTTTTGATATCAAGAACAGGAGTTTTTATAGCTATCAAACGATAACCTCATTCAAGATATGATACGATTTGCAAGAAAGCAAGAAATAATTATTTCATAACATATTTATATTATTTAGAATCAAAACATATATATATAAACCCTAACCTCAATGAACAAGTTTAGGAAGAAACCCCTACCTTGATTTTGTAGTGTTTGTGTGAAAATCTAACATATTTGATCCATTCCAACGTGAAAATCCCCCTTAATATCATGTTTCTCCTCTTCTTTCTTACTCTCCAAGCCTCTCTAGGTTTAAAAATTTTGAAATAGGGTAAGGAAATACATCATTGGGTATTTATAGTATGAGAAAACAATCTAAATTGGTGCAAATCTAATACTCAGAATCGCAACCTCATGTTTGAAATATCTACTTGACGTTTGAACGTCATTTTGGCGTTCAAAAATTGCTTGCTCCCAGTTTTTTTGCTTTTCCATCAGAGTTTTGTCAGACACAAAAGTACTGGGAATAACTGTCGTTCGAACTGATCCATTCACGTTCGAACGGACTCTCATTTTTAGCTGAACTTCCAATGACGTTTTGGCCTATTTAAAGGTCTATGTGGAAAATTTTCGTAAAACACTCTTTTGTAACCCCGTAAGTCTTGTGTCTACTGTAAAAATTTCATATCAAACGGATATCAGGATAAAAAGTTATGGTCTATATAATAAAGCAGTGTCAAATTCTTTCCTACCCCAATTCTATCTAAAATGTATTTTAACTCCGAAATATTTTATAACTTCTACTTCACACCCTATTACCTCACCTAACATTTTTATTTTTACTCTTAAAATCTATATAGTTCATGCTTACATCATTATATATATGAGTATTTCAAAATAATTACGTTACTATATAAATATAAGAATGTAGGAGTTTACAAATCTCAACTACGAATAGCAAAAATTATGTTGTTATCTTTTAAGATTTGAATTGTATTGTTCTTTATTATATAGACTAGTTATTGTTCGTATCTGAAGGCACTATGTAACAAACAAAAAACATTTGTAGACATTGTATAACAAATAAAAAATCTAAGTCTAGTTAAGGGTAGCACCAAAAAACACTACGTAATAGAGAAAAAAATATATAGGGAAATTGAGCAAAAAGTCTGTTTTTTATGATTTAATCTGATTAACTATTGAATGGGAAAATAAAAATTAACAATAATTTTCAACCATTGGATCAAAATAAACATAATTGTGAGATGATCTGAGTCGTAAAAAATAAAAATTATTTTTATAACTTGGGGATTTAAAATCTTTTATACTTTATTATATAGAAATTTTTTTTTGTTATTATAATAGAATTCAATAAATATGTATATTAATATATATTTTAAAAAATAAATAAAATTAAAACACGCAATCACTTTGGCAGGCAGAAGTGATACTAATGAGTACAAATACAACTATTGTATACAATTAAATAAACACATCTAGCTTCAAGTGAGGCAATGGCGAGAAATGAGCACACATGGTTTATATGAGTGGAGCCCAAACCTACCGGAAGCCCAAAGGCTCGGTTAACAGGGTACACCAAGCACTTGTCACGTTTTTGGGTTGGAGAACATAAATTAGTAAAGATTTTCAACCATTAGATCAAAGCAGATATAATTGTGAGATGATCTGAATCGCGAAAAATAAAAGTTATTTTGTTTATTTTTTTATATTATATTTTATTATATAGATAGTTATTGCTCGTATTTGAAGACACTAAGAAATAAACAAAAAAAAAATAGACATTGTGTAACAAATAAAAAAATCTAAGTGTAGTTAAGGCTTGTACCAAAAAACACTATGTAATACCAACATATGTAGGGAAAATGAGAAAAAGTCTTATTTTTATGATTTAATCTGATTAAGTATTGGATGGAAAAAAAATTAATAATAATTTTCAACCATTGGATCAAAATAGACATAATTGTGAGACGATTTGAGCCGTGAAAGATAATTTTTTTTTATAATTTTGGGATTTAAAATCTTTTGTACATTATTATATAGATAAATTTTTTTTCTGATTACAATAGAATTCAATAAATATGTATATTAATATATATATTAAAAAATAAATACAATTGAATCAAGCAATCACTTCGACGAGCAGAAGTGATACCAATGAGTACATACACGACTATTGTATACAAATAAATAAACACATCTAATTTCAAGTGAGACAATGTCCAGAAACGAGCACACATGGTTTATATGAGTAAGGCCCAAACTTACCAAAAACACCTAAATGTTCGGGTAACAGGGCACACGAAGCCCTTGCCACGTTGCATGCCTTACGATGCACACCTATCTTTTAGGTGCCATAATTTTTGGGCGGGAGAATGTAAATTAGTAATGATTTGGGTAAAAATCATTCGGACCCCCTGACTTTTGTCTTAATGACACGGACACCCCCTCACATTTTATTAATTACAGTGACACCCTTTATCATAAACGGAGTTAACAGACATTGTGCAATGACAAGAATAACCCTCATTTTATTTAATTATAATATTACCAGTCAAACCACAATATGTAAAATGACATAAATACCCATCTGACTATCAAAACCCTAAAAAATCGAAACCCTTGTACAACCCATCGTTTGCCAGAGAGAGAGAGAGAGAGAGAGAGAAATCGCTTTCTACAGCCCGTCGTTTGCGTATAGGCACTAACCATTCTCACCCCAAATCGAAACCTTCATCTTCCTCTTCCTCCTCGATTCCCCCACAACCTCCATGTGTCCCCAATCCCCACAGATCTTAGCACATCTCGAACTCAAAAGCCCTAAATTCTATAATGTATGGGCTCCACCAGAGATCTAACCCTACAAGTTGAAGCGACACCTATTGGGTGTTGATGCCGAACTCAAACTCGGATCCTTCACTATTCTCGTATCTGACCTCATTGATGACTCTTTTGAACTGTAAGCCCCTTTCTCCTTATTGGTTGTGTTGTTGCACTATTTGTTTGGGTTTTCTTAGGATCTGTGCTGCTAGAGACGTAAACAATTCTAGTCTAATGTCATTTAATGAAAGATGTCGGTGGTGTGGTCTAGATGTCGGTGGGTTGGTTTGGGTTGATGTCGGTGGAGTGGGCAGTGGTATTTTGTCAGTGGAGTGGGTTTTGCTGACTTGGGGGCATATATGGGTATATGGTGTATATGTTTGTCGGTGCATATGGTGTTGCAAGGGGTAATGCTTGGAGGTATGGGTGGTTGGGCTGCTTAAGAATTTGTTGGTGTTTGTCGGTTGAGGGCTGGGGTGGTCGGGTTGCTAAAGAATTTGTTGGTGTTTGTCGGTTGAGGGCTGGGGTGGTCGGGTTGCTAAAGTATTTGTTGGTGTTTGTATATTCTGGTCGGTGAGGGTTGGGCTATTGTCGCTGATTTGTGGCTTTTACTTCCCAATTTTGTTTTGAATTTAATTAGGCACCTCTTTGGTGATCAATTTAATTAGGCACCTCTTTAATTCCCAATTTTCTTCTTTAATTATGTATGCAACATTTTTTTTTTGCTTTGAAAAAAATTTATTTCTTGAGTCTATAATGATCATCGGTCCATTACTGTCAAGTAATCAAGTTTTGATTACTTGATTAGCACTGTATTAAGGTTGATGGGGAAGTTGCTTTGGTGATAATAGAGTTGTAAAGTTTGTTAAGTTGTCTCACTTTTGCTCAATGACGAGAAAAGCAAACGGGCGGTCAAAACCTAATGCCGTGTTGAGTGTCTGCAAACGTTCCATTTTTTGGAATGTCTCTGAGAGGACACTACTTCTTGTTGGTTTCAAATGCATTGAGATTGTATTGTGATGTATTCCATGGTTTATGTTTGCTTTTTATTTATTTATTTTATCGTGTCTATGTTTGAGCAAGTGAATTTGTAATGCTATAGTGTTACTATTTTCCTTTTGCTGATACATAATAATTCTATTTTTCAAAAAAAAAAAAAAAAGAATACCAAGCTGAGTAAATAATTATTTAATTATTATCATCTTGAATTTCGGAAAACATTTTTTTTTATGGAATAAATATGGACTGTACCATGTTTGGCATCAAAAGGAATTTCTTTCCTTTTTCCTTTTATTTTTTACCGAATTTAATACGTTGAAGGTGGTGAACTCTTCATATTTTTTTTTTGAATTCATACTTGGAAATAATAATTATGAGTGTGAATCCAGTGGGGACATTTTGGATTATATTGTTTTGATTTGTCTTATTTTATTTAATTTTAACTCAATTCATTTAATTAAGAGTAATGCTATAAAATTCAAATAAAACCCCAAAAATTAAAACTCAAATGCATTTTATCTTTTGGATGAGTGCATTCCATCAATTTTTTCAATGGGTTCCACTCATCTCACACTCATATAAAGGATGATATGTATTTGGATTTTAACATTTGAATTTCATTTGAATATGCATATTTCTTAGGCATCCTTGCAGATTTCAAATCTTTTGCAGCTACTATATTATCATGTATTAAAATCCTTGTAACTCAGTTTAATGGTTTATACAGATGTGCTGTGAGATTTTAGCACTCACCGTCATTAGGGAGAATATCACCGTCACCTACAAGCGACACCTACTTGCCGTTAATTCTCTTGCAGCCATTGGTAAGTATTATGCTTTTTATGCGATGTTTTTTTACATTTATTGAATTTTTGGTTTGTTGTAAAATTGTAGTTGGATTTAATTTTTTGAATTTGGGTTGAATTAATCAAGTTTTGGAAAAAAAAATGGGTGAATTTGAGCATGATATAGTTGTCCATAATGGTATAAATGTTGCATCTGAGGTTGAAAATGTGGATACAAATGTTGCAAATGTTCAGTTTGAGGTTGGAAATGTGAAAACTGATGTGGGAGATAATGATAAGGAGGACGATGTATATGGTTTTAGTTCTGAGGATGATGATTGGAGAGACGAGGGTGATGATGTTCCTGATTCTAGGAATGATTGCCAATATGTTGGGCTAATTAACACATGTGAGGAGTGGGATGCAAGTAGTGATGGTTTCTCAGATTATCAATCTGGGAATGAAGGTGGTAGGAGTAGTAGTGATTCTGATGATGTAGAGTATATGAATGGTGATAACAAGCAAAAGAGGAAATCCAAAGTGTATGATACATCTGAATATGAGACTGAGTTTCATGTTGAGAATGGTGGAAACTCAGACTGGGATTTATGTGTGAGGATGTTGTTTGAGAATGTTGATTTTTTTAGGGATACTTTAAGAGACTACATCATTAAAAAAGGGACTAAAGTGATTAGGAAGAAAAATGAGAGGACTAGGGTCACAGTGCGTTGTGCTGTTGAAGGGTGCAAATGGAGGATCCATGCATCACCTCTTCCAGATCAAACTACATTTAAGGTGAAGAGTTACAAATGTGATCATAACTGTATTAGGTATAGGGAGGTAGATGAGGCAAACAACACCTGCATTGCAAAACAGTTACAGGGGGTTATCAAAAACAACCCAAAGATAACATTGGAGAGTATGCAATTTGAATTGAATGATCGATGGAAAATTGAAAGTAATGGCAGTAGGCTTTATAGGGCAAAAGTGAGGGCTATGGAAGCAATAGAGGGTAATCATAGCTAGACATTTGAGTTACTACCAGCCTATGTAAGACAAGTTTTGAAAAGTAACCTTGATTCTGTTGCACTTATTGATTATTTTAAGCCTTCAATGAGTGTTAATCCCATTTTCAAGAGATTTTTTATTTCATTTGGTGCCATGAAGAGGGGGTTCAGAGAATGTTGTAGGACTTTCATTGGTGTTGATGGTTGTCACCTCAAAGGGCCATATGGTGGGGTTCTTGTAGCTGCAGTAGCACTTGATGGGAATAAAGGATTATTCCCAGTGGCATATGGAATCGTTGAAAGTGAGAGAACGGAGGGCTGGGGTTGGTTTCTAGGCAATCTGCATGTAGTTATTGGTGCTGAGGATAGGTCCCAACCATGGACCTTTATGTCTGACAATCAGAAGGTATTCTGTTTCTATTTCTGTGTTTTTTGTTTCTTATTATTCTGTTTTTATTTCTTTTAATAAGTCTTATTATTTTATTTATATTTTTTTGTTATGAACTTAGGGACTTGATAAAGTGTTTGAGAAGATTTTCCCAGGAACTAAGCATAGGAGATGTTGTGTGCATCTCTTCAATAATTTCAAGTCCAAGTTCCCTGGACTATTACTTAAAAAAACTTTTTGGATGGCTGCTAGGGCCTATAATGTGGTAGGGTTTAGGGACAACATGGAGTTAATGAAGTTACATGACTCTAATGCTTATAATTGGCTTATGAAAGTCCCTGTACATACATGGGCTAGGTACACATTTGATGAATCTGTGAAAAGTGACCACATAACCAATAACATGTGTGAATCATTTAACAACTGGATTGGACTGCATAGGCATAAGTCAATACTCACTCTTTTGGAAGGAATTAGATGCAAGATAATGGTGAGATTTCAAAAAAGGTACCGCAAAGGATGTGCATGGGACGGATTAGTCACCAAAAACATTAAGATACAATTGAAAAAAGTTGTTCAAGACAGTATGAAATGTCTTGTATTATTTGCTGGGAACTTGGAATTTGATATAAGTCATGAGGGAATAAGATATCCAGTCAATTTGGCAACTGGGATATGCTCTTGTAGACAATGACAGATATCTGGGATTCCTTGCATTCATGTAGCAGCTGCAATAGGGTTCCAAAGAGAAACCATTGAGAAGTATTGTCATAGAAGTTACACCAAAGAGGCTTATTTGCTTGTTCATGGAGATATGATCCATCCAATTGTGGATCAGAAGATGTGGGATCCAATGGCAGAACCTCTACAACCTCCACCCCTGCGCAGGCTACCTGGAAGGCCTAGGACCAATAGAAGGAGAACTGTAGATGAGCTAGCAGCTGGTACAAGTGACATGAGGAGGTCCCAAATAGCTGGATCACAAAGTCATTCTACTGCCTCACAGGCAACTTCCCTAGTAAACACAGTTGAAAATTCGACTGCAATAGAGGAAGGGGGTAAGGGAATGTGGCAAGGGGCCTCAATCAACTAGAGTTTAGAGGAATGGAGAAGTATAGATGTGCATACGTTATTTTTTGTGGAACAAGTATTTTTTGTCTAGGAGGGGTTAGGGCACATTATTTTTTGTCTGGGGTTAGGGCACATGTTATTTTTTGTGGGACAAGTATTTTTTGCTGCAACACCGTGTAATATCTTTTGTCACTGCCCAGTTCTATATGAAATATTACACCATTTTGTTATTTGAGTTGAATATGAAATACATAGATACATGTGTACAGGGAGGCTAACCCTTGTTATGAGGAAAATTTTTGTTTGATATAGAAAATCAGATTTTTGTTTTTTTACTACAACACCATGGAAAATTTTTGTTTGTAACAAAAAATCATATTTCTATTTGTAACAGGAAATTTTTGTTTGATACAGGCTAATCCCTGTTATGAGGACAAGTAATTTTTTCCTGTTTTGTAATAGTTTTTCCGTTTTGCTTGTAATAGAAAATCAAAAACTGTTTTTTTAACAGGAAAACAGGAACTAGATTTTTGGTAGAATTTTTGTTTGTAACAGAAAATCAGATTTCTACTGTAAAATGTCTTGGTTTCTACTTGAAAATCATATTTTTGGTAGAATATTTGTTTGTAACAGGAAAATCAGGAACTGTTTTTGCTTGGTTGATTCTTTAAATAAAATGTCTTAGTTTTAAAACATCCCAAAGCTTCATATCAAAGGTTTAATAGAGAGAGAGAGAGAGAGACAGAGGGTATTTACACAGGTTTACAGTGGGTTCCAAAGCTCTCCAAGTGAGTTGTGCTGTGTTTTTAAAGTGTATTGAGAGATATAATAGTCTTTCTTTTATATATTTTTGGAAAAAATTTAATATATAATACTTAATCTTACTATTGAGGACTAATTTTGAAATTACAAGGGTTTTTAAGGTGATGTCACTCTTTTTCGTCTTCATTATTGACGGCCATGGAACGGAGGGGTGTCCGTGTAATGAGTTCCAAATGTGAGGGGGTGTCACTGTAATTAATAAAATGTGAAGGGGTGTCCGTATCATTAAGACAAAACTCAGGGTCCGATTGATTTTTAACCTAATGATTTTTAACCATTAAATCAAAACGGATATAATTGTGAGACAAACTTAATCATAAAAAATAAAAATTATTTTATTTATTTTTAAAATTTAAATTATATTATACTTTATTATTATATATAAGTTTGACCTTTTTACCTTGAAACTTGCTCCCGCAGGCGGGGTAACTCCGTCAATCATTTGGCTGGCATAAAAGTGGTTGGCCTTTAATTAAATAGACTCACAACGTTACCCACACACACGGAGAGTAAAACACATGAAAATTTTTGTCACCAATAATGTCGCCTTCAACTCTCACCATTATCTCTCTAGTCGTTGCTGCCCTCTGCTCCTTCATATGGATCGCCTCACCGTCGATAACTAGAAAAAATGGCCGTCGACTTCCACCAGGCCCCCGAGGCTTGCCCGTCATCGGAAACCTCCATATGCTGGGCAACCTCCCCCACCGCAGCCTCCATGAGATGGCCAAAAAGTATGGCCCTATAATGTCCCTCCGGCTAGGCCACGTGCCCACTATTGTCGTCTCATCACCGGCCGCCGCCGAGATCTTCCTCCAGACCCACGACACCGTTTTCGCTAGCCGGCCGAAAGTCCAGGCGGCGGAGGTCTTGTCTTATGGCACTAAAGGCATGGTTTTCACTCAGTATGGTCCGTACTGGAGAAACGTGAGGAAGTTTTGTACAGTGGAGCTTCTCAGCGCCACAAAGATTGAGTCACTTTCTGGGATGAGAAGGGAGGAGCTTGGGTTGTTGGTGGAGTCGCTGAAGGCTGCGGCGGCGGCGCGTCAGGTAGTGGATGTGAGTGAGAAAGTGGCGGGGCTGATTGAGGCCATGACCTATAGGATGCTCTTTGGACGTAGCAAGGATGATAGATTTGACCTGAAGGCTACCATTCAAGAGGCTTTAGAACTGGCTGGAGCGTTCAATCTGTCAGATTATGTGCCCATCTTGAAGCCACTTGATCTTCAGGTAATTAAATTTTTATTGTTATTTTCATGTTATTATGGTTGTGTGATGCGAGGTTTCGTGATAGAAACAATGTCACACACCCATAAAGGTTTATGGGTGGATCCTCGATTTTAAATCTATAAGTTCCATGTGATGTTCCTAGGGACCCTAAAAGTTTGTCTGTGGGACCTAACCGGATATTGAACAAACCGGCATGGGCTGTTTTGCGGTTGAATGAGTTTCTTGGTTATATAAAATTTGAGTTTAATTAACGTGGGTTATTTGTGAGTGATTATTTAGATTCGAGATTTATATGGGAAGGGATTTCTCTATTTTCACTCTGTACGAGAGGTCATTTCTAATTAATTTGTCACATTACACTACAGTATCGAATTTTATTTTTCTATACAAAACAAATATAGCTAAAAAAATGATAAATTTTAACCCAAAATATAGTAATCTTCGCCTAATGTTGTAAGTGAACTTAAAATGTGAATGGACACTAAAGATTGATAAATTTTACCCAAAAAAGTTGTATAGAAATTCCAAAAGATAATAAGTGATACAAAACTAGATTATTTTTTTTATACGATAATCAAACCCTAGTTTGTCGTGATTCGTAATTGTCTTGCATTGTGAGTCACCATCTGGCTAGTTGTATAACATGACCAGAAACATGTGGTCACTTGATCAGATAGTATGATTGCTGCATTCCTACTTTAGACTTTAATACCTTAGCAACACTGAGAATTTAATTTAGAGACTTAATTAGAGATCAAATTCAATATAATCATTAAATTAATTGAGTTTTAATGTTAAATGAAATGCACTCTCAATTTAATGATTACACTAAATTAAATTCAAAGCTTAAGTCCTCAAATTAAGTTCGAATAATATTTTCCTTAATACCTACTTTAGGAGTTAGACTTTAGAGAACGTGAAGACAACGCAATCTCCATGAGTTTATTGAAACTTTTTTTTGGGTAAATAAACCAATAAGATATATTGAGTATGCAAATGTACATAGCAACACAATCCCAAAGGGAAACAGAACAAAAACAGAGACACAAGGACAAAACAGCAACAACCTACAACCAGTCCAACAAAAGAAGGCAGAGGAAGTCTGGGGGGAATGCATTTTGCACTCCCCACAGATTACAAAGCCAGTAAACAACAAACTGAATTTACATCAGGTGCAAAAACAAGAGCCCGGAAGTTGTCAAGAAGAAACAGCCTGTTTATGAAGATGGGTGTCCTTGATTTTGATTGAAAGAAACCTATTTCTCACCATATTCAAAATCATCATTTGGGTAGTACCTGGATCATTGTGCTCATTGGTGAAAATTCTATGATTTCTTTATCCCCAAATAATATAAACAGTGACAGCAAGATATAATTTCCTAATGGAATTCTGAAGATGTTTGCCTCTCCATTGGGTGGACATAGCCTCAATGAGACTTTGCCAAGAAGAAGATTGCCATGGCCAATCACACTTACTGATAACATTGCTCTAAACTCTTTTTGATTATGAGCATTCAAAAAAAAGATGGGAGTGAGATTCTTGATCAGCTCTGCAAAGTACACAAGTAGTTCCAATGTTGGGTGAAAAACTATGGATTCTGCCCTTTGTGGCTAGTCTACACCTTATAGCAAGCCAAAGGATAAAACTGGCCCGAGGAATGCAAAGATTGAACCAAAGGAGATGGTACCACAACACCTCTGGTTTCTTGCTCCTAATTTGATTCCAAGCTGAAGAGGTAGAAAACTTGCCATTGACCTGGGGAAGCCATTTGATCTCATCCTTTTTCTTAGTTGTAGGGGAGTAATTGGGCATAGAAGATATGATCTCATCAATAATTCTGGAGTTTCTAGGATTTGTTGAAGGCCACCTCCATTGGTTTCCTTGGATAATGGAAGCAACTTTAGCATTCTTAGTGATCCCAGAATCATAAATAACTCTAGGACCCCATTTAAGAAGGAGAGGACCGTTAGGATGCCAAAAATCATGTCAGAGAGATGTATTCCTACCATTGCCGATAACATAATGAAGAAAAGGTCTTGCTAATTCCCTAACTTGCAGCAGCTTCCTCCAGTTCCATGAACAGATCTGTGGAGTTTTGACTTCCCAAATGCTCTTGCCTCTAAGATGATGCTCTTTGATCCAACTGGTCCAAGTGTTGTTCTTATTAGAAATTAAGTGCCAGAGGTGCTTGAGCATAAGAGCTTTGTTCTAAGCCCTTAAATCTTTCAATCCTAAGCCCCCTTCCTTTATGGGTACACAAACCTCACTCCAAGCAACCTTGGCCCCCTTTGTTTTCATTTCAGTACCAGACCATAAAAATGATCTTAGTTTCTGATCAATAGCATGGAGAATCTTCTTAGGAAGCATAAGATGACTAGCCCAATAAACTTGAATGCTACATAACACAGATTTAATGAGCTGGAGTCTCCTAGCAGAAGACAGAGCTCTATTAACCCAGGAGTTTATCCTTGAGTCCATTTTTTCAAGTAATAAAGAGCAGTCTTGCAACTTGAGCTTAGTGGTGATAATAGGGATCTGAAGATATTTCATAGGCAGACAACCAATAGGAAAATCGAAACACTCAACCATCAACTGTTGTTGCTCATCTTGAACACCTGAAAGGAAGATGTGGCTCTTGGAAGGATTAGACTTTAAGCCAGATAACATTTGGAATTTATCCAGAGCCCGTCTAAGAACTTCAACTGATTTAGGGTCCCCATGACATAACATGATTAAATCATTTGCAAAGCAAAGATGAGAGATCTTTTGTCTTCTGCATCTCCAATGATATTTAAACTGAGGCTCATCATGAATGCCTTGCTTAAGAATTCTTGACACCACATCCATCACAATGACAAATAAATAAGGAGACATTGGGTCACCTTGTCGAAGACCTCTGCCACTTGGGAAGTACCCTGCCAATTCACCATTAACATTGATAGAAAACTTAGGTGTAGTAATGCATTCACTAATCCATTTGACCACGACTCTGGGGAGATTAAGAGCAGCAAGCACATCGAGCAAGAAATCCCAGTCAACCATGTCAAAAGCTTTCATTAAATCAACCTTGATAGCACACTTGGAGGGCCCATCATTCTTATGATAGTTCCTGGTTATGTGACCACTGGGCAAGTCAATAATTTCATTTTCATCCTTATCCCCAAAGAATACCCCTTCGCAGTAAGGCCTCCATTTTAAGATTTCCTCAACAATGAGGATCTTAAAGCACTCTCCTCCTTAGCAATTCCTGGGCTAGAAGAATATTGTCCCCTATTCTCCTTCCCTTTATAAAGGCAGTTTGAGCTGGGTTGATCACATGGGAAAGCAGAATTTTCAGCCTATTTGCTATGATTTTGGAGATTACCTTGTAGAGGGTATTACAACATGAGATGAGCCTAAAATCAGACCTGCTTGTGGGATTAGGGACTTTAGGAACAAGAGCAATAATAGTAGTATTCAATTCCTTGAGAAGCTGGCCAGTGGTAAAGAATTCTTTAACCGCAGCAACAATATCTTCACCAATGATAGACCACCCATTGAAACCATCAGGACTTGGAGCTTTATTGGGATTGAGAGAGAAACACACTGCTTTAATTTCATCTCCAGTAACCTCATTGCTAAGAATCTGAGATTGCTCCCTTGTAATGGTGATTTGCAAACTGTTCCATATAGCAGAAGTTCTATAAGGCTCTTGAGACCTTCTACCCATCAAGTTTTGGAAAAAATTCACAGCCTCATCTTTAATTTCCCTATCACCTTTAGCAATAGACCCATCCTGTCTTTGTAAAGTGATAATCTTGGAATTGTTCTTTCTACTCGAGATGGATTTAAAAAAGAAGGATGAGTGTTTGTCATCTGCTGCTAACCATTGGATTCTAGACTTTTGTCTCAGAAAATCTTCTTCAACCTTGAAGGCCTCAAAGCATTTACCCACCAATTCTTTTTCAAGAATCCTGAGTGATTGGTCAAGGGGATTGGTAACAAGCCGCCTTTGGGATCAAAGCAACAAAAGAAAACTAATTGCGTAGTTGTATGGAATTATCCTTGTAAATGTGGGACTTATCAATTTATAAAAATATTACAGGACTTATCGGTTACTTATGTGAGATACGTAAAGGAGGGCTTAGTATGTTCCCACTTACATATCTATTTGCGATGCAGATCCAGTTACCATCTTCAATGAAACAAAGATTTCATAAATGTCTACAGTAGAAGTATCGTGTAGTGATTGCTGAATCATGATTTTTACTTCTTCAAAGCACAAACCAGGTAATGCATGGATAATATTACATAACCAAAACTATAGTCCAAGTGGAACATTGGAGACTAGAATGATATAAAATAGATTTTTGGGGTCCATTAGTGTAATTACGGCATACTGCATGTGGACATGAGCCAATATTTATCTTCCGCTTCTTGTTTTTCTCTCATTGCATAATAACAATGCATACTACTTGTTTTTGTTCTTCAACTCATGAATTGAGTTTGTAAGGCCTTCAATTTTACAGTTAGTGATATTTTTTCTTCATTCATCCTTCATTGCCTTCAGGGATTTAGTCGACGTTTCAAGGCAATCAGCGAAGTTCTTGACCAAATCATGGAGGTAATTATCAATGAGCATGAACAGGATGCTAGTAGAAGACTTCAAAACCATGACAAGGATTTCATCGACGTAATGCTATCATTGATGAACAAGTCCACCAACACTCATGATCAGTTATCATACAAAATTGATCGAAACAACATCAAAGCTATCATACTAGATATGATCGCGGGAGCCATTGATACTTCTCATACTGCTATTGAGTGGATTCTCTCAGAACTGATTATGCACCCGAGGGTGATGAAACGACTCGAAGAAGAGCTAATGAGTGTTGTAGAAGGGACTCGAATGCTTGAGGAGACGGACCTGAATAAATTGGAATACTTAGACATGGTAGTCAAGGAGAGTTTGAGACTTCATCCAGTGGCACCATTATTGGTTCCTCATGAGTCTATGGAGGACATAGCGATCAACGAATATGACATCCCTAAGGGGTCACGGATTATCGTGAATTCTTGGGCGTTAGGGCGAGACCCCAAAGTGTGGACAGAAAATGTGCAAGAGTTCCTCCCAGAGAGATTTATCGGTAGCAATATTGACCTTCGAGGGCGTGATTTTCAGCTCATACCATTTGGTGCAGGGCGAAGAGGTTGTCCTGGGATGCATTTGGGGTTAATCAACGTAAGATTGGTGGTGGCTCAGTTAGTGCATTGCTTCAACTGGGAGTTACCTAATGGCATTTCACCTAGTGAGTTGGACATGAAGGAAAAATTTGGTCTAACGGCGCCAAGGGTCACACACTTGCTCGCTCTGCCAATTTATCGTCTGCATTAATTAAACTTGCAATAGTTTTCTTGAACACTCCCTCTTCCCCCTCGCCCTCCCCCTCCCAAAAAAACACTGTTTTTCCTATATATTTTTATGGTGCAAATGTAGTCCATTTTATATGGTTGTCGACCCTGTCTTGGTTATATGGACATAGTTAAATAATTTGACAGAATGATAAAATAAAAGTTTGTACTTGGACCATAAGATTTTTGTCAATGGGCAGAGTTGGGGAGTGTAAGTAGAATAGAATCTTAATTATTTCTATTTTTTCTGTAAATAAAATCTGGGACTAGAATGCATGGTATATCGGTAGAATGAAGGATGAAGTTAGAACTTTGTCCTAAGAGAGTCTAAACAATAGTATTGTCAGGAATTTTATTCAATTGGATTATTATAATGTGAGTGTCAAAAATTTAGTTACATAGAACTTATCGAAATCAATTTTGGTAAGATATTATGGTACAAATTATTTGGTCTAAAAATTGATTCTAGCTTAATATCGTAAAATTTAGCTTGTGATGATGTCACCGTCCACTTATTACCATATATATGATAGTGTTTATAATTAAATTATGATCACAAATAATAGTTTCACAATATTGTAGTAAAAATGAATCGAGTCAATGCATTGTTATTGATATAAAACAACCCAATTTTAAAATAATTAAAAAAAAAAAAATGTGTTCGTCAAACTCATCTTACCAAGTATCTTCGTCTGTAAAGTAATATCCATACATGATCTTACATCGGCCATCTAGTTGGTAAATGTCAAGTCATTAAGATTTTTTAGCCCAATAAAATTCCTCTTTGAAAATCTACAAGAAAATATACAATTTTAAAAAATTAGGAGGGTTATAGAGAATTTATGAAAATGCATGTGAGGGGCCAATGCGATTTCTAAAATAATTAATTTTATGTTGTGAAATCGAAAAAATATAAAAAAGAGCAATGCATAAAATATATTTAAAATAAATCTTTCAAGAATTTAATATATCAATGCGTTGGTCTTCAAGATTACACTATTCTTTTCTTTCTCTTCCAATTTTCTTTTCATTGCACCACTATTACAAATATCATTTTTAAAACATTTTTAAGTGATGATTTTATAATTTTGTCTCAAATACTTATTTTAGTAAATTTTTTTGTGACGTTTTTTTAAGCGAGTCGTGAGATGATGATTTCTTTGCAATTTTTTATGACAAATATTTTTTGTCACAAATAATAATAAATCATCGCCAAAATAAAAATTAAATAAAAATATTTATTTGCAAATTTTTTTGTTCGTCGCAGAATATAAATTTTGGTTTAGACCAAAATTAAAGTAAAAATAAAATAAAAATATTAATTCATGATGATTTTTATTTACGTCAAATTAGGGGTGTTAATCAAGACGATCTACTTGGACTCAGACTCAAGTTTTAAACGAGCCAAATTTGAATATTTTTTTAGGCTCGTTTAAAAAAATAAAATAAGTTCGTCAGGTTCCAGTTCAAGCTCGCAAAACTCGGCTCGATTAATACCCCAAGTCACAATAAATTTGTTCAAAATTTTTTTTCATGACGTTTTGTTTTTGCCCTATTTCATATGTTAGTTTCAATTTCTTACCTTAAAATCGTGTATTTATGATTACAATTGTCATGTGAGATTGTGTTGTTGTAGCTATGGTTAACCGATTTGGGTTTTGCATGTTGCGGGTCTGATTTTTCATTTTAACTTGCAAGTGTGATTGCTTCTCTAACCCTAATGTGCACTCGCTGCTCTATGATTTAACCAATTCACATTTTTTTCTCTTTTTGCCTTTTTGAGCCACAACTTTCGGCTTGGATTCAAGTTTCTGCAACTCCTAGGGTTATGCAACCCTCAATTTACAATTGAATTGAATATTTTTCTGATGAGTTTGTCAAATATATCATTAATTTTGAGTTTGTCAGTTGCATCAGTTTTATTGAAGAATTTTGTCACGGGTTTGCACTTCCACATATGTGAACAATTGAACATTGTATCTATAGGGACAGTAGACCCATTGCTATGGCGTTAAGGGGATACTTACACTATTTTGTCAGACTTCTATTTTTTTGTTGATGCTTCTTAGATATCTTGTATTACGTGGACTGTTTACTCCAAATTAGCGTTCTGGTATTGAAGGAATTTTCACACAAAGATGCTGCTTAATATAAAAACAGAAAATTGTTACTTGGAGCTAATGAGTACCTGCTGACGAACCCAGATCTAGACCAGGTCTGTACCCGGTCCATAAGCCCAAAAAGGCAGATCAGACTTAGCTCATGGCCTCAATTCAATCTAAAGTTCAAGAGTTTAGGAAAAGTCAACGCACATGGGAGAGCAGTCATCGGGATAACTATTAGTCCAAGATAGTGTCTATCCCTAATTGTAGCTATCATCCCTGATAAATTAATAACTTGACCTTCACGCGCACCGCCACAGTTGAGACTCTGTGCCTATAAATTATAAATCTCTCCTATACATGGGGGCAGATCTCACACACTTCACTTTGAACATACTCTTGCTTTGTCTGTCTCTCTCTCTCTCTTCCCTCCTTATTATCTTGTACTCTCTTATTAATAGAATTCTCCGATCATCGTTGCCACCTTCAACGATTAGGTCATTTAAACCCAACCACCAGATCTTTGTCTCTTATTATTAAGTGTTTTATTAATTGCTTTACACCTCACACTTGATTGATTTGATCGTGCATAGTTATCTTTATGCATCATCAGTTTGACACTGTTTATGAGAACCGATTTAATTCTCACTCTATATTCTTCTTGCATTCAATGGCAATTATGACCAGATCCATGAACCACCCAGCGGAAGATGACCTGCCACATCATGACGAGGTCCTGTCACCACTAGCCAACCCTGTTCTTGAATCCTAACAACTGTTGGAGACCATGCAACTCCTAGTTAACCAGAACCAAAAAATCTTCACGCTGATGCTTGCTGGAAGTCTTCAGGGAGTCGGCTCTCAACATTAAGAAAGAGGGAGGGCACCCCAAGCGCCTCACCTATGGCGCCAAGGCGCTCCCCAGTGCCAAGGGCCTCCCGTTACCCCACTTTGTAGGCCTACCCCCTCCCATGCTGGCGACCCTCCTTCCCAAGAGGACGAGGGTAAAAATCGGCATGGGGACCATGAAAGCTACATGAACAACCCCACTTGTGATATCTCTATCCACTAGGACAAGAAAATCAAAGAGGTACAAAACCAACTCGCCGACATTTACAACGCCATGAAGGCGCAAGGGCTTGAAACGGTCGACTACCTTGTGAGGCGTGTTGACACGCCATTCATGCCTGAAGTGGCCAGGTAACCTTTTCCCCCAAAGTTCAAGATGCCAACGTGGAAGCTTTTGGTGGCTCCAAAGATCCGCTGGACCACCTTGACACCTACAAATCCCTAATGCAGTTGTACAATATAACAGATGAAATCATGTGTATGACTTTTCCTACCACCCTCAGGGGATCTACTTGCCAGTGGTTTGCCAGGCTTGTCCCTATTTCCATTAACTCTTTCGCTGAACTAAACAAGTCCCTTGTCTCACACTTCATTGGGGGATGCTAACACCCTACCCGCTTAGCATCAAGTAGGACTGGGATGAAAGTTAAAAGAGTTACATCACTCATTTTAACAGGAAGTCCTCCAAATTGAAGAACCTGATGACAAAGTCGTCATGACAACCTTTACAAAAGGCCTGCGCTCATCCAATCTTACGTTTTTAGTCTTGAAGGTTCTGCCAAAAAGTATGCTAGAATTACTATCAAAAGCCAAGAAATACATGAATGTTGAGAAAGTCACCAAATCAAGGCGAGCTGAGTCTCCACGTAGAGGGGAATGTAAAAAGTAGACACGTGAAAATTTTACTTCTTTACTAATTTGTGTTTCAAATTCAAATTCAGTGAAAAAAAGGCATTTTTTAGGAAAATTTGGTGCCAAAACTGCCGTAGGTTGTTTGATTATGGTAGATCTCAAAAAAAATACCCAGATTAAAAAAATATATATATTTGCCTCAACTGGAAAATCGAGTGCAAAGTTATTGTTGTTCAAAGTTTTTCTATTTCTACATGATTTTCTAATACTCCACCCAACACCCAATATCCAAGCGCCCAACGCTCTGCGCCCCGTCCCATGGCGCCCCAATAACGATAGCGCACCCATGCCTTGGCGCCTACCTCTTCACCTGTCTAGGCACACTGCCCGCATCGTGTGTCCCATTCATC